AAATTCGTTCTATAAAATACTAGTTGTGTACCCGCGCAATGCGGCGGGAGCCATGAATTTTAACGATTTTAAAGTTTCACTGGTTTTATAAGATAAGATTTAACGATGATATAAGTTACACTTGTTCTTTACATATTAATACAATTTGAATAACTAAGAGTTATGGTTCCAATTACAGACTATCGATGAAAAAAATTGTATGACAGTTTAAAATCCAATATATTTAAACGACTCCACAAATGTGTTTGATTTACACCAAGGGCAAATAACCAAGAAACTTGAGTTTTAAGATAAACACTCAAAACCAATAAAGAAAACTACAAATTTAACAGATCATAAGTCATGAAAAGACCAAAAAGATGAGTTTTAGAATGAAATTTCAACTGTTTACCCTCTTTTTTGTCCAAAAACTCAGATTAAGGTTAAATTAATACATGTATATATATATATATATATATATATATATAAACTTGGGATCATGTGAGACCAGCCTGTTTTCGTGAGACCCATGAGACCAGCATTTTACACTTGAAACTTCACAGCAAAATGCTGTGAAGGTAACTTTTTAAAACCTTCACAGTGTTTTTGCTGTGAAGGTTCGACTTTTTTTAAACCTTCACAGCGTTTTTGCTGTGAAGTTTATGTGTAAAAATGTGGTCTCACGGGTCTCACGAAAACAGGCTGGTCTCACGTGAACCCAACCCTATATATATATATATATATATATATATATATATAACGTATAAATCGTAAATATTAAAAATATTTTTTCACAGTATATATAATATATAATAATATAATTAAGTAAAAAACTATTCAATATTGGACTCATTTCGAAWGTATTAAAGAGACGATTATAATGGTGTAACTTGTTAAAATAAAAATGTATTTTTTAAACATGTKTTAATTGATATACRATTATGTATATTAATTCGGTAAATGTAATGAAACATTTAAAAGTAAAGGACGTAAAATAAATAAATTAAATAATTATAGGGGTATAAAGTATATTAAAATTATGATTTTAAAAATATGGGTTGCGAGAGGGTGAGTGTATGTGAGGGGGTGAGTGCATGTGAGGTGAGGAGATGATGGTGAAAAAGTGTATAAAGGGTATCTTGGTCATTTAATATTTTAAGACTTTAAGACTTTTGTTAAATTTGTTTTATAAGATAGTATAGATGAGTTTGTAGGACATTTTCTCAATAATGTCCTATCAGATTGCTAATGCGATCTTTTGTATTAAAAGTGTCTCAAAAATCTTATTAAGATTCCTAAAAACATTCTATCAAATTATTACAATCTTTTATAGATAAGATAAGACGATTTATATTTTGATCACATAAAACGGTCTGATAGAACACTTAGAAATTGATGGCGTCCTATAAAACCAGTTTTGTTGTCGTGAACAGTTTCATACAACAATTTTATTAAATTAAAAAATAAAATCAACAGATAAGAATGATTTGTACAAATAGTTTGATTTACAAAGTAAACCACCTTTCTCTCTCTATATAAAAATGTAAATGAAAATTAAAAGGCATTCAATAGTGGTTGGTAGGTTCGGAAACGAGCTCATGATCGTGACCACAGGGATACAAGCAGTTCACCCTTGCTTCTTGTTTCAAGTTTAATCATATTGTAAAGATCTTCCAACCTAGTGGTAAAGGCTTGGGCATAACATAGTCATGAACCCGAGTTCGAGTCCTGGAAGGGGAGTGTTGGCGACATTTAAGTGGGGTCATGTTTAGCCTCCAAATTTGCCGGGAATTAGTCGGGCTTTGGCCCGGACACCCTTAAAAAAAAAGTTTAATCACATTTCAGCCAAAAAGTTCATCCCACGTGATATTCGTGTCCCTTCACGTGTAAAGTTAATAAACTTTTTTTTTTTTCCACTTAAAAATAATCATTTAAATGAGTTTATTTATTTTCGTGTTTTTGAGCGATTAAAAATACGAACCTTCAACTAGTTTTAATCGATGGCTAACAAAAAATATTGACCTTCATCACTTTTATCGACCTTTTATATTACCTTCATCTTAATTTTTGGTTACATTCACAAACTTTTACATATCTATACTACCTTATAAATCAAATTTATCAAAAGTCTTAAAAACAATTTTTAATGCATAAAGTGCTATACATTTATGTACAAAGACTTAAAATTAACTATAGTGCATTAAGTACTAATACTTTATGTATTCAGTCTTAAAATCTCTTAATCTACAATTAAAATAACATATAGTACAAGTTACCAATGCATATCTTATGTTTCCAAGATACTTTTAACATCTTTCACTCATGTCTTCACTCTCTCATACCTCTATGTCTTCTCTCCATCCCCCAAGGTGAGATTCAAATTGATATTCACCATGAGTTATTAAAAGTTCTCTCATTCAATTGCTCTATAACTCTCGGTCTCATTCTCGATCTTTTGATTATTTGCTCTTGGTGTAAATCGAATGCATTTGTGGAGTCGTTTAAATATGGTGAATTTTAAATATATTAGATTTTAAATTGTCATACAATTTTTTTCATCGATAGACTGTAATTGAAACCATAACTCTTATTTATTCAAATTGTATTAATATGTAAAGACCAAGTGTAACTTTTATATCATCGTTAAATTTTCTCTAATAAAACCACTGAAACTTCAAAATCGTTAAAATTCACGGCTCCCGCCATATTGCACGAATACACAACTAGTATTTAATTATTTTCACATACATTAATTTGATAAAAAAAAAGTTTCATTGTAGATTAAGGTAAAGAAAATTAGATAAAGATTCGTGAAATGCAGATGCATAAAAATCCATGAAACCCAAGTACCCAACCCAACCCTACCCTACCCTACCCTACCCTACCCTACACATATACACACATATAGGTTAGGTTTTGTTAGGAAGTTAAAATTGATTAAACGATTACAATGTAACAAGCGACATATGGTAAAAACATATGAACGTATTATTCATTGTAAATGTTGTAACATATTCATCATATATATATGATTCATAATGATTAATACGTCATAACATGTTCATATTCATCATGTGTGAAGTTGTGATTCATGATGAATAACAGTTACATATTAATCATTAATTAACATGTTATTCATGATGAATACTCACACTAAAAAGGGATACATTGCGTGATGTGAGAGGTTTTTAGTCAATTTTGGATTTCTAACGGAACTTCCCTATATATATATATATATATATATATATATATATTTATACTCAGGTTCATACGAGAAAAGTAAATAAATAAAGTAAATAAATAAAATAATAAAAAATAGTCGAATTATATCTGATTTTACATTAATATTCACGTGTAAAATCATATGTGATTCACATGACTTTGGCTGCAAATTGAGGTCGCAGGCCACGTTATCCGCACATCCTTCCCTTGACCGTTAGTGTAAAATCTAATGTTCTAAAAAATGCATCGTTGTGGCGTCATGCAGCCACGTTAACCCCCTTGGGGTGGATATAACGCGTGGATCTCGTTATGGCGCGCTATGACGTTATGGTATTACAAGTAATATGGTGTTATATGGTGTGGGGGAAATTTGCAATCTTTAAAAATCGACTAGGAGTAAATTTTAATATAACATTATAATTTATACGAGCCAAATACTTAATCAACAAAATGGGGAAAAGAAAAAACCCTAAATTACTTTTCAGCATACTGAAAATATTATTTGATTACTTAGATTTGTTTTTTTTTTGATTTCATTACTTTGATTTTGATGTTTGATTACCAAACAGAAACTATAAACAGTGACTTACTTTGTGTATTTGATTTCATTTTTGTAAACTCTGTATATTTGATATCAAATTATCAATTTATGGTTCTTTTTTTGTTTATCATTTTATATGAATTTGAATTGTTAATAACTTACTTATTATTGTTCAAAACACTGATATAAACACACACACACACACACATATACATACATATATATATATATAGGGGAGCGATCAAATGCAAACCACTCAATTTGTACAAACCGTGCAAACCGCATTCAACCAATCATAATTTTTCATTTTGTTCATTTTTTTGTAATTATGAGAGATCGATTAATCATTTTTATTGTGGAGGGTGTTAATCATAGATATTATCATCTTCATTATTTTAATTTTAGAGAAATACATGAAACAATTTCATTAATGTTAGAGAAATACATGAAACAGTTTCATTAAGTATTATATGAAACAATTTCACAACCATATGTGAACAACTTCATCAAAAAAAGTATTATATGAAACAATTTCATGAAAAAATTTCATAAGATTAAACAATGAAATCGACAGATGAAGGTGGTTTGCACGGTTTACACAAATGAGGGCGCGGTTTTCATATGATCACTCATCTATATATATATATATATATATATATGTATGTATGTATATTATAGTTTTATCGGCTTAAGCCACGTCTTGGAAAACGCCATGACTTCGCTATAACTCATAGAGCTTAAGATTTAACCTCGTCGTCACAATAAACCTCATGCCATTTAAAATCTTGATAAAATCGGTTGCAATTTTATATGTGATTTATTATTTTTCATGTTAGTTTTATATTAGCACTCTTCTCGTTTGAAGCTCCACAATATATGTATTATAGTATTACGAGCTGTTTACCAAACACTTAACCGTTAAGTACTTATCGGTAAAATTTAACGCTATTATTATTTACTTATCGAGTAAGATTTTAGTCTATCAAAACGACATCGTATGTAACAATTTACCCAGTAAGCTCTTACCGAGGTAAGAGTCGTCCGCCCTCACTTACCCGAGTAGGACTCATGGTCCTTGTCTCGCTTTTACCGGGTAAGATTTTTTGTCCTTATCATATTCATTCGGTGAGAGGATAAACACTTACCCGAGTAAGTGTTCGGTGGACCATACTTCGTTTTTTCGTTCGGTGGACCATACTTCGTTTAATTGAAAAAAGTATTACGGAAATTGGAGCTATGCTTTTGATTGGATAACAAATCAATGACTTGCAACTCTTCTCTCTCCAACAATTATCGGAAGCCCATTCTTGACGGTTGCCGTTAACGCCGGTTCAAACCGGAGCTCACCATCCGGCTTTACAAGCCTTAGCTTAAACCGGGTTAGAATACCCAGTACCACGCTTTTCATTTCCATCAACGCCATTTCCTTCCCCAAACAAACCCTAAACCCGGCTTGAAAAACCGGATACTTAAATGGGTTTTCATGCTTGAAAACCCCATTCTTCAACCACCTTTCTGGCTTAAACTTCTTGCAGTCTTTCCCCCATATCGTCTCCATCCGACCCATTGCATATGGATGGAATGTAACCTTCGTTCCCTTTTTCACCCGGGTTCCGTCGGGTAATGCATCGTTTTCTGCTGCAAATTTCGAGTCGAATTGAATCGGAGGGTAGAGTCTCATGCTTTCGTGTATCGCTGCTTGAAGATAATGGAGTTCTTTCATTTCTTCGAATGTTGCGAGTTGATCTTGTTTTCGGTTCTTCGTTCGGTCCATTTCGATTCGTATTCTGGACTCGACTTCTGGGTGATTCATGATCAGCCAAAAGAAACTTGTTAAGGCCGAAGCAACCGTGTCTCGGCCGGCGAGAATGAAGTTGACCATCACATCTCGTAGAAACGAGCGGTCGTCGGAAACCTCCATGAATCTTGATAGAAGATCTTGGTTCTTTGTAAACCCTAATTTCTTCTTGTTCTCGATGACTTTTTCCACAAGGATGTTAACGTTTTGAATCGCTTCTTTGAGCTTTCTTTCCGACCCCAAATTCAATCGCCGGTAAGCCTTCCATACCACCGGCGACGTCGACATTGCTCTCTTGGCTGACAGTGTTGTGGCTAGATCAAATGAATCTGATAACTGAGAAACAGTAAAAGGTAATTCGAGGGAATTAAGATCCAAACTGAATGAAAATCGACAAATGTATTCAAACGAAAACTGTCTAAAAACACATTGCAGATCAATTAAACCCCCATCTTTTCCTCTAGCAACCGAAGACAGAAGTGGCAACAGTCGACTTTCCACATGAAACTTAACATTATCGAACGCATTCGACACACTTCCGAGCTCCAAACTAGCCATCTTTTTCTGAAACATCCATGCATCGCCGTCGACGTTGAATATGCCGTTGCCCAGAAGATCTCCAAGAATCATGGAGAACTGTTTCCCTTTTGGGTAATTGTGGAAGTTGGTTTTAAGGATGTGTTCGACATTTTTAGGGTTAGCAGTGATGGTGTTTGCTAGGACATGAATATGGATGGTTTGAGATGGGGAGTTTTGGAGAAGATGAGTGTACCAATCGCAGAGATTGTTGTACTGTGTTGACCAGTTGGAAGTGAGGTAAGAATGGCAGACATCACATGTGCAGTAAAGCTTATGTTTCAGAAAGAACAGTATGAAGATGGTGAAGGAAGAGAGGGTGAGGAAGGTCATCAGAAGTGACACCATTAAAGCTTTCTGAGCAGATTGTAGAAACTTTGTACATATAGACGTCATGTTTCCATATTTGGGTCTTTCAATGGAAAGGTACATTACATTGTAGTTTTGTTACTATAATTAGAACATATATGGGTGGCTTGTAATTAAACACACAAAATACTTGGTTGGGTGGGGCCCGGGTTGATATAATATAATACACTCGTTACTCCAAACTTATTTTATAGGTTAGAGTTTCGATAAGATCGAAAGTTACGGTGAAAAGGTAAGAAGTCATCTTGACTCTTCGATCGATCCTAATTGAAGAGAAACGCTAGACCAAGTGTAATGAGATACACCTGATTAATTCTCTTCTAAAGTGCAATTCATGGTTGGTTTGAGATTATAAATGATCAAGGGTTCAAATCTACTGTTACGCTTTTTCATATTAACTTCTATTCTTACACTATTTTTTGTCTAATTTTCATACATGATGAAATTAGTAAAATCTATAGCGATGACATGTGATGCAAATTTTGTTAATTTTTCTTTTTTTCATCCTATTACATTTTTTAGGGCCCTTTGAAGGAGAAAGTCTTTGCAGCCGAAGTCGGCTGATCCCGCCATGCACTTTTCGGAAATAATGAAACCGAAAGAAAGAAAAAACCAGTGTCTTTCGTGAATGGAAGATGCCTCTGGAACTCTTTTTTCTCCAATTTTCACCAAGGCCTTTCAGGGATTCAGCGTGGCCCCCAGCCTGATCAGGGCTTCTTCCTCGAGTCTTGTCACGAAAAATCTAATAAAGACGAGCCAAATTGGAGTTTTGGAGAGATTGTCAAATGAGACTTTCACTGTTCCCTTGGATTTTCTGACTCGTCCTCGGCTACGTGTCCTTTGGGCAAATAAAAAATTTCATTTTGAATTCCGGCTGTTTCATTTGGGAGAAGATAATCATTGACATTTCTTCTTTTTTGTCATAATTTAATTTTCATAAAAAATATAGTGATGACATGTTGTCCACCATACATATACATATACATATACATATACATATACATATACATATACATATACATATATATGTGTGTGTGTCTGTGTGTTTTATAGGGACCAAAATAGAAATTTCAAAAACAACCAATATTAATATTTAAGATGATAAACCCGAAGGAGATAACATAAATGTATAATATATTACTGGTAACGATAACTAAATAATATCTAATCGTCTTAACAAATTTGTCTTATCATCTACCTCATCAGATTATGACGAATTCGTTGTGGATTGATGGTTGTTGTAAGCATCGATTATTATCGATGGTGACGGAAGTCTGAACTTGTGGAAACTCGACAAAAGGCATCGTCGCTAAAGATATTTTTGCTTTTACAAATTAAAGATGACATATGTCGTCAATATAGACACACAACAACCAATTTCAAGTCGTCATTATAGTCGTCGTAGCTATAGACCTTTCTCCTTGCAGCACTATATATTAATGCCGAGTCTGCAGAGATTAGAACTGACTTTAGGAAGCATGTCATCATATCAACACTTATTTTGAGAAGTCGGTCATGAAGAACTTATTGAAGATTTAGTTCAACTCAGATTCTGAAAATTATGTCTTCAAAACATTAACATTAAACATTTTCAATACAAATCAGTATTTTTAATATAAGTTTTCATAATAAATTATTGTCATTTCTTAAAAATACAAATTACACAAAAGCAATCAATTTTTTTTTTTATTAACTTGGATATCCAACTCGCTATGCGAGCCGATTAATATTAGGGCGACCATCTGCTTTGCAGATAGCCCAGAGTCACCGCATTTAAACCTTCGTGGCCATAAAGAGATTTTTATTCCTTCTTGGATTTGAACCTGTGACCTCCTGATACTTTTGACCTTTGGAGTAAAGCTCAAACCAATCAGTTAGCATTAAATACAAATTTGGTGCAATAAATGCAAAGAAGGATATGAATTTTGTGTAGCAAGGTTTATGCAAAAGTTGAGAGTCAATAATTCATCATGGCTCCGTATTATCAATCGTTGAAAAAAATGGTCGTTGTAATCATATACTTCGGAATTCGAATTATTTGTTCTTTGTTTATGACGCATCACTTGAATTATTGGTCGGGATGTTTGGTTTGATGTAATTTTTTGAGAGATTCGAGTTTTGTGGGAAAATTTGAAATATTTGGTGTGTTTGGTTTGTAGGAGTTGTAATGGTACTGAGTTTCAATCTTTATAGAAACAAATTATATGTATGTACATGTATGTATATATAATTATAAAAATATTATAAAACATTTGACAAAAACTCTTAAAAACCATTTTTTATGCGTAAAGTACTATTTATTAATGCATATTACTTAAAACTCAAGATTACAAGTAGATTGTGCGTAACTACAACTTATTAAAACTTCATATCTGAATTCGTGTAACTAACTGCAGATAAACATAATCAAATACAGAATAAACATCTCATTTTAAATATAAAAAATCTAAAATATAATTAAGATAATCATTGAGTTCTAACAGAATACTTAATT